TTGCACCCCGATGCCGAGGGTGAGAGAAGAAGGGCGATTGTGCCGGAACAATCTGGTTTCATGATTTTATAAATGGACGGAAGAACGTTAGCCTCGACTCGCTCTTGCGAGCCGTTTATTTTCTAAATGCCTTGAAATACGTCTTATTTTCTTTTAAACAGGAGATTGAGATCGGGAATAAACGAGCTTTAACGTAAGCTTTATCAGAAAATCTTTATTGAAATTTAAATGCGTTAATTCAAACGCTTCTATTGTCTCGTTCAATAATTACGATCTCGTGATGACGTTATAAACATGAATTATACATAAAAGTTTTATTTAAAAAAATAATAAATCGATAAATAATAACTGATAGTGCTTCATGGACTGATTAGATGATTATATAATATTCTTTTTAGAGTGATCCAAAATAAGGAGCGTCAGATTGTTCGAAATTTTTGACAATTTTTTATGACGAATTAAATAAATGTATTGTACGAAAGTAAAGTTCTGAATTTATATGTATAACATATAAATATATTTATATAACATATAAAGAATAAAAATGTATACTTTTTATTCAAAATGCTTAGATAAATATTATATATATATTGTATACGTATATATTATATTTATATGAACTAAAAAATTTAGTTTTTTTGCTAATAAAAGCTGCAAAATAGTTTATTTTATTATTTTTTATTTAATCTAAAGGTTTTTGTAAAGGTTTATTCCATAAAACGACAAACTTCCTAAAGATTTCTTGTTAAAATTTGCTACGATCGGATCACCAAAGTCGAGATATTACTGTAAACAAATTTTTTCGTTGACTATGAAAAAAAAACAAAGTATATATATATATCGTATATTTATATAAATATTTGTCAATAAAAAATATTTTTTTACTCTTTATATGTTGTATAATAAATATTGCTCAAAACTTTCGTGCATTTCAGTTCGTCATACAAAAATTTGACAAAAACAATCTATATATCTTAATCTTTATAACACATATAAAAACTACACCCAACAATAATTTCTAAAGCGTTTGAGGTTTAAAATGTAAGTAAACCTTCATCTTACGGCGACAGATAAAGAAAGAAAGTTCAAAGATTTTACAGTTAATATAATATTTTAAAACCTCATAGAATCAATTGTGTACAACCATCTAAAATTTTTATTTTGGGCCCAAATAATCCTTTGCTATAGTTAGGGATTGATATATTAAGAATTGTAAAAAAGTTCATTTAGAAAAAATTCATTTTAAAAAATTGATGATTTTTTTACTTCTCTCTTTTAAAATTAATCTCTCTTTTAAAGTATTATAAATAATCCTCGATAAATCTTTTGCAATCAATTTTTAATCAACAAAAAATCATTTTCTACGATATAATCTATGTAACCCTTTGTTATAGTTGAGAGTTAATATTCCAAAAATCGTAAAAAAAAGTTCATTTAGAAAAAATTGATTTTTTACTCAATCTCTCTCTCTCTCTCTCTCTCTCTCCTAAAATCCAGTGTTATAAATAATCCTAAATAAATATTTTGCAATCAGTTTATAATCCAACAAAAATTATTTTCTATAACACGCAATTGACACAATCTATGTGAATAAATAAATAACAGAACTTTTTCCTATTTCATTTAATAAATAGAACAAAGATCTGTTATTTGTTCACATTTACACAGATTGTGTCGTATAGAAGACATGACATTTCAAGGACTTGGCACTTGAAAGTTTCTGCAAAGAGAAATCGAAACGGAACTGTGAAAAATAGGGATATGCTTGTTATTTCCTCAAAACCATAAAAATGTTTTTTACGCTCTTAACAATACGAAGTATTGTTGACTCGCTGTTGGGTTTACAAAGCAATATACTGGATCGGCAAGAGTGTCCGGATTGGCTGGCAGAGTAATACTAAAATGTATCCTGCAGGGATACGGGAAATACGTGTTGGATGGAGTGGAGGGGTGATGCCCATTTCGGTCGCTGGATGCCTGCTTAGATAATATAACACCGCGTATATCCCCTCGAGGGAGAAGAGATCTTCATCGTCTCTCTCTCGAGTGGCGAGGCTCATCCATTTGAGAGGATCATTGTCGAGGATCCGCGCGCGATTAAGATCGACGACCCTCCGGCGTGCGCGATCCATGGCGTTACCGGTCATGGATACCCATTTATCCCCTTTTTTTCTCCCTTTTTATCTCCCCTCTCTTACGCTCTTGAGCGCCGACAATATTACAGCTTCGATTCTCCGGTTAATCCAACTGTTCCGTTTCCAGATAGCACAGAGAGTCGGAAAAAATTCTTTTTCGATTTCCCGACTTACAAAATAAATTCCTATTTCGTCTTATTTTTGTTCTAAATATTCCTGAAAGTCTCAAAAAATTTTACTGTTACATCATCAAAAAAAAAGCATTTTGAGCTCTTTTTCAGGTTCAAAAGATATTCTTTCTCTAATCTTTTTGTATTTCTTATGCACATCCAATGAAAGATCTGCTTTTTCTCATATGATGATGCAAAGAGCTCTCATTGAATACGCTCGTCGCATCCAGTGAATAACATGCGTTAGTTTTGTATGAGAATTAATCACATTTTGATTTTTATGCAAATTTATATATATATATATAAATGTTTTTGTAGTTTTTTAATTCCTTTTGAGTTCATTTCAAACAGATTACGTTAATTCGTAAAAATCGTAAAAAACTTAAAAGGTGAACACCTTTCGAGTTTAAATGAATCAGATATATTATCTGGATTCGTCTTTTGTATATTTAATACGTTCAAAGGAATGGATATCTAGACATTTTAATACAGTCTTGAATAAAGTAGGTACGTATGTCATTTCAATATGAAATATTATACTCACCCACAAAAAATATGAGCCATTATTGATATAATGACCGTATTTTTTGCGGGTGAGTTTATTTTCATAAAAATTGCTAAGGTAAAATAACGGAATTAATCCATCATTGCACTTTTATTACTGTTTTTTGTAGCGGAGTGCATTTTACAAAGTTTTTTCATTTTAGAAATTTTCAAGAAATAAAAGAAGGTAACATCGGGCGAATCGCAAAACTGGAGATAACCACAAAAAATTAATCTTCCTTCATTCTGTTCTTTCATTGTATTGGTTGCTCGGACTCATTTTTTCTGATTCCCAGGTATGTTTCCGAGAAACAATTTTATTGCTATATATAAGAATAGGACAAAAATGTTTCTAATATATGCAATACAAAATAAAAGAAAACTTTCGGTCAAAGGAAAAGTCAAGGTCTTAAAAGAAAAGAAAGTTTCTTTTAAATTTATCAACTTGTAATATTTCAATTCTTTTGTTTCTTTTATTTTTTTCAATTTAAAGAAATATATCCATATCAAAGATTGTTTGTCCTTTTGTTTTTTAAATATCACAGTAGGTACGAATTGTTCTTTAAAATTCTTATTTTCCGCATAAATGCATTTTGCAGAAGTGTCTAAAAAAATAAGGATTTTAAAATAAGAATTTTCCAAATGTTATTAATAATATCTAAATATGTAATTATTTGCTTAAAGACGGAAGTTGTAAAATTGTTATAAAATGATAAAATAAAAATATTTAATGTCGAGCTCGCAAGTCGTCGCTCATGTTATCTTTCGAACGACGTTCGCATGAATATCTAAGCATGACGAAAGAGAAATTTCTCGCTTGTCTCCGGATCGAGATGAGCGAATCTCCGCCCCTCGCCGCGCACTATTGGTCCAGCAGCCTCTGCCAATCGCAGCATCTTTCTGTATCCGCGAAGGGAGGAAGTGCACGCACGATGCACACGGGCGCACACGCGCGCACGTGCGTGCGTATGACGTATTGTTAGCTGCGTATATAGATACGCTCGGGCAAGAAGGGCAAGGAAACATGGCTCGACACGGACAGACACGGATTCGTTTTCCTACGTCCGTCGTTTCGAAAGATTCTTCATCCATTTTCTACTTTCAGAGATGTATACATGTGTACGTGTGCGTCTACACCCAAATCTTGTCGTAACTGTATAATTTGCAATTCTACTCGCGCAGGCTTTTAGGGAATCTAAAATAAATGTAGATTTATTCTTCAGAAACTTTATATAAATTTCCGTAATTAAATTTGTAGTCGCATCTTGTATGTATACATATATCGATTGCGAAATTTTGATTAAGCACGCATTTAAATTTTATAAGTAATATAGAAATAATTGTATATAATGATTCAGATAGAAATAATTATATATAATGATAATATACTTGCAAACCTTGATCACTATATTGATCTATTAATCTATATTAATATATTAATAGATCTATATATCTATCTATGTATATTTCAATAAATTTATAATAAAAGCTAACTTCATAATTTTATAAAAATTTTACAATTCCTTCCACTTTATGTGTAGATATTACAGTTAGATGTATACACATAAAAAGAATAATTATACTGAAATATCTAAAAATTTAATTAGATATAGAAAATAATTTTATTGGATCATCAAAATAATTACAGAGGAATCTGAAATATAATGAAGCGCTGCAAAAGATTTCGATATTTTAGTTACCAATTTAAGTGTCCTACATAATTATTTTAATAGTCTAACAAAATTATTTTTAGATATATTTTTAGCTAAATTTTTAGATACTTCAACAAAACTGTCTTTTCCGTGCAGATATTATTAATTGCGTTTAAATTTCTGTCTATAAAAACCTCACTTTAAAACTTTATGTGTAATTTAAAAATCTTTTTCAATTTTCTGGACATTATTTAAATTTTTATCTATCGAAAATCTCACTTTAAAAAATAAAATTTTGTAATTATAAATTCAAAAATCATTTTTAATTTTTTGGACATCATTAATTAAAACAACGATAAATACATAAACATACTCGCAATAAAAGCCGTACGCTTCTCGAGGGACGACGAAGATCAATATCGCGGACGTTTCCGCGTTGCCAGAGAAACTTGAATACTCGCGCTATATACTGCAAACACCCGCGTTATGAAGCATGCAGGATGTCGAACCGAGGAAGGATACAAAGCGAGAACGAGCTTTCCTGGCAACGAAGGGCGTACGAGCGTCACCGTTCTAGAGTGAGCACTCATGAATTATAAACGTTACTCTTGATTCAACTCTGTTTAATATTTTATCGGTCAATGTTTCTTTCATCGGGACCTCTCTTGATGAAAGCTCTGAGAATCTAACTAAAACCTCAGTGCTAAAAGATATTTTCGTAAAGGCAATTTTCGAATAAAAAACGATAAAATAAATAATCGCGCGAATTTATGTTATTTACAGAAGCTTTTTATAAAGATCATTTATATGTCAAACGATATAATTATATGCATTACATTCGTGCAGTTTTTATGTTAAGCTTAAAATTTTTTAAGGAATTATGTTGTAATTTTTAAATAGCGGGGATTTATTTTTAAAATCTTACTGAGATCTCATTTTTAATGAGATTTATTATAGTTCATTATTTCATTGTATTCCTTGTAAATTATACTGTTTTAGTTAAACCATTAAAGTGGTTTTTCTGTAAAAAAAATTTAAAACGAAGACATTCCAAAGAACATCAAGTCAAAAGAAAGTCAAAATGACTTTATTTTAATGCTATGAAAATCAAAATGATGATTTTTTTATTAGAAAATTTTAATGTTTATTAACGTTAACATAAAGTCGTTTTAATTTTTTATTAACTTTGTGTTCCTTAGGATAGAATACAAATTGTACCATTCGTGTATGAAATTAGTCGATAAAAATGAAAGAGACAGGGCGCGAAGACGGCCAAGTAATTTCTATCTTTTTTTATTTCAATCACAATATCTTAGAAAGAGAAGAAAATTGGCCGTTTTTTAAGGATTTGGCTCTCTTTCTCTCTCTTTTTTTTTACCACAATTGATATGATTTCTTTGTTAGATATCGATGGCACAGTCCATACTTATGTCTTTGATTAAAAAAACCAAGCTAAAAGACATACATATTAGTGGGAATCTTCAAGATTTACTGAAGATAGTTATCTTTTTTTCCTCCTAATTCTAAGTGACAATGTCACAGCATGAAACTTAAAATTTATGATTGCAACTCGTGTTGTGCTTTGCAGGTAAAAACAGCTAGACCGACGGTAGATGTGAACCCACCAAAGGGCAGACCTCACGTTTCGTTCAATGCGAAGAGATTGCAGCTGGAACGTGAACGGCAGGAGCGGATTCTCAAGGACAATTTCATCCTGCGGAAGAAACTCCGCGAAATTATGCACCGGAAACGACGAGTCGCGGAAGACACTCAAAGGGTCCAATGGCAGGAATCTAGATGCGTCAGAGTTCGTTAAGGAGATCTCGACAGAATGCTTATTTGCCATTGTACTACTTGTGATTTACATTGCATATAAGCTCGTATATTTTATGTGCAATATGAAAAGTAACAATTCTAACGAACAATCAATCTTTAACGAACCTTTTTCTATCTTGATACAATCCTTTATCTATGCCACTGTGGATTTCTAATAAATGCTTTCAGTAATATTTCCAAAACTGTATTTTCGTTCTTTCCTATTTTCGAAATCAATAATTTGTGTATTAAACCGCGAATTTAAATTACTAACGTAGTTCATATTACGACGACTTATTTACACATTTTTTTATTCTTCTGAAGATAAATTATGCAATATTTTTTAGGTCATTTTTTGCAATATAAAATTTAATTAATTTCATTTGTATCGTGCGCTGATATATTTCGTTTAATTGATTTAATTGATATTTTAATTGCCATTTACTTTGCTAAACTGAATTAAACTATAAAACTGATATTATTAAAAATCGTTGACATCAATTTGTCTTTTGTTTTAAAATTCTAATCGATATATGAATTATTTGATATATCATCATTAATGCATCAAGGAGAGAGGTTAGAGTTTTGCAAATAATATTGTATTCTCTTTCAATGATAAAGTAAGCATTTCTTGCATTAATATATATTCTAGATCTACATATATATTTCTAGTTATTTGAAAATTTTATATTCGTTAGGATACATACGGATAAATCTTCTGCCAATTTAATAATCTTCATATATACCAATGAAGAAATGTTATTCTATTAAACTTTTAAGAGTAAAATCTCTTAAAGATGGAAAATTGTTTCTTTTTAAAGACTGACAATTTTCACTCTTCAGAATAAGATTCCACTCTAAAGAATTTAAAGAGTTATAAATTTCTATTATAATGTTACAAATAACTTCAATAAATCCAATCTATGATTATTATATAAAGTCATTATTATGTATGCATTCTTATTCCTTAATTTGATTAAGAACAAATGGAAGACAAAACCTACGATGAGGAAAAAGCCGAAGAGAAGCTTGAGGAGGAAGATCTTGCTGAAGAGGAAGATCTTGCTGAAGAGGAAGATCTTGCTGAAGAGAAAGATTATGGAGAAGAGGCCCAATCTGAATACAAATCAATGATTTCGTTGGACGAGGTCGAGCGTGATACACGCATGTTGACACACACTGAGGCCGGTGAGTGCCTTCACAATTTAGGAAAATGTATCACGTTGTACGAGTATGCCTATCTCAACCTGGATGCCTCGGATAGAGGTCTTACGGATATCAGCATGATAGCATCCTTCAAACACGTTCGTTATGTGAACGTATCGGGAAACAGATTGACATCAGAAGCACTATGTGCACTCGAGACGATACCATATCTGCAGACACTGCGAGCGGACCGAAATTGTCTGACCAGTGTGGAGTTAAAGCCAATGCCCTATCTACAGGTGACCCCATCACCCTTTGATTCTCGTTCAAATGGGATTTAAATTCATCGAGAAATCCTACATGTAACAAATACATACTAGTAATGTCCATTTCTATCAATGTAATTTAATTGTAATCACAGTTCAACTTACTCTTCATCTTTTTCTGATATTCTTATTATTAGAATTATACAGAAAAAAGATTGTTCTTAAATCAACCATAATATATTTATATGTATACAAGCAAAATATTGTAATTTTGCTTTAAAGATTGTAATTTTGATTTGATTTAATTTGTATTAATGCAATTATTTTTGTTGAGCAAGTCTTGAATTGAGTGCAATATAATATTGCATCAACAAATTCAATCAAATGTAAACTAAAATTTTTGAACCAAAATTACAATATTTTTGTTTATATACAAGCATAGTATGATCGATTTAAGAATAGTCTTTTTTTTCTGTAATAGGAAAGGATAAAAGATAAATTAAATAGAGATTAAATAATACTTACTAATTGTAAGATTACTTTGGAAATATTATTGTCTGAATTTTATTATATTGTAAGTCTGAAAGTAATCGGCGCATAGTCATATATCTCAGATTTATTTAAAATACATATAGATTTATTATTTCAACATCTAGCTGACTTTGATCATAATAGATGTTTCTCTTAAGCGAAACACGATGATTTTTTACTGGATTACTTTTAGTAAATTACTATACAGAAATTCTGTGTGATGCCATTGTAATAATTTACTAAAACGCAAGCAATCCAGCAGAAAAAAAGCATCGTGTGCCGCAGGTTTTACTTAGTTGTTAAGGAGAGAGACTAAATATTTTCAGAAATTAAATATTTTTATCAAAGTTAATTTACATTAATTTTATAATTGGACATAAGACGATTTAAAAAATGTAGGAACTTACTCTAAACTGGAATAAGATAACGGATACATCTGGCATCCGTCATAAATCGCTCGAGCGCCTGGAGTTGAACCATAACGATATTCATACAGTGAATGTGGATCCTCAAATCCTCGTAAACTTGAGGATTTTGGAGCTACGCGGCAATGCACTCATCAGTACTGCAGGTGAGACACACAAAAATGAGATCCCATTACACATACTGCATACTTTTATTGATTGTGATTTAACGTTTTCTTATGTAATTTTTTGTGCTGAATCCGAATCTAGCTGCAGAATTGCTCTATCACGTCAAGAGATATTCGAGATATCATAATCTAAAACTGTCAAAAAAGCCGTTTTCAACCATATTCGAAATTAAATTAAAAATTGAGAAAATTCTTGTTGTCAAATCCATCAACAATATCATTTATTACTATACAGTCCCTTCAAAATCCATTTTGAATCATCTCAAAGTGATTTTTTTTTTCTGGAGATATGCCAATTTGAAGTTCGATAAATTGTACAGAAATGTATGGAAAATTGTATGGAAAAGTTATTAACTTAACTTTTCCATTATAATGACATCGAAACGACGTCTTTTCGAGGAACTATTTCTGATTGGGAACATGGTCTCTAACGCAAAATGAGTGACTCCACGGCCAATGAAGACAATTAAACGGATGACCTCCCAACCATTTAATTGCTTTTACAATGATTTATGAAATCTGCTGGAGTTTGAAATGTGATGAGAAAAACATATCACATAAACGACGTTCTAATTCACATAGTTTTGATAAAAAAAGAAAAAGAGTTCATAAATCATTGTAAAAGCAACTTAACTGGCCGGGGAATCATCCATGTTGCCTTCACTGGCCGGGGAGTCACTCATTGATCGTAAAAATCTACATAAAAAGGACGATTTTGCTGAAGTATCTAAAAATTTTGCTAAATATAAATCTGAAACATAAATTATCTAAAGACTTTTGTCATCAGATAAAAATAAAACTAAGTAAAGGGCATATAAGAGTCAAAAACAGTAAAACTTTAATAAATACACATCAATATACTAATACTTATGAAAATTTTAACATTCAGTCAGCTAATTGGGAACAATTTCCGTCGGGCAACATACAATTCATCGGAGATGATTAACTTAACTTAGCTTTATTTTTATTTTTACTTGGTTTTTATCGTTTCACTTTATTGCGGGTTGTGGCTGCAATTATAATAAATCTGAAAATGGCTCGCTCAAAAAGCCGAAACATGTAATCGAGATATTTTATTGTTGTAAGACATTTTATATGTTATACCATCAAAAATTTTTAGAATAATAATATCAAGAATAAGTATTAGTATATTGACGTGTATTTATTAAAGTTTTACTGTTTTTTGCCCTTTACTTAATTTTATTTTTATAAACCTGAAAATAATTTTGTTGGATTTTCAAAATAATTATGTGGGACGCTCAAACTGCAATGGTTGCTAGAATTAAAATCTTTTTATAATATTGCTTATCATGTTTGTATTCTTAATTATTTTGATGGTCCAACAAAATTATTTGCAGAGAGAGATCTGTATCTAGCTAAATTAGATACTTCAGTAAAATTGTGTTCTTTCTGTTTGGGATAGAAATGCCAAATATTTTAAACAATTAAGAAAGGAGGATCTAAAGGCTAAGAATTCCGACTTCTCTCCCAATAAAAAATAACTCATTAAATTGATGTCAAATCGACATCAATACAATGATTTCAAAGTCAATACAGTGTTAATTCAATGTCTAATTGATGGTCATTTCTCGTTGGATTCTGAATAATGTTCAAATTCCTTACTTCTCGAAGGAATCTGCTGTCCCAGTCTAACACGACTCTTTCTGGCTGAGAACCAAATCGAGAAGATCGAAAACCTCGAAGTCCTTGTGAACCTGACGACGTTACACTTGCGAAGTAACAAACTCGTGAATCTAGATGGTTTCACCGAGCAATGTCGCAGTTTGAACTATGTGAATCTGCGTGACAACGAGCTTCCGAGGATTTCAGAGGTGAAAAAGCTAGATTGTTTACCAAATCTAGAAACGCTTATTGTCCTGGGGAATCCTTTTTTGAGCGAAGAGGAAGAAGAGAAGGAATATAGACGAATTATTCTGACAATGCTTCCAAAATTGAAGAGGATCGATAAAGATCTTGTGCTAGATCAAGAAAGGAACGAGGCGAAAGTATTACTTAAACAAATACAAAAGAGCAAATCCAAATTTGAAGACTCCGATTTGAGAGATTAAAGATTACGCGTTGAAACAGAGAGACCAGTATTTGACCATATATTTTCATTAAAATATAATTTCATATCTTGAAAGTCTTTTCTTTAATTAATTATCGTCATTGTTGTATGTTCAAAAAATTTCTTATTAATAGTTATTTATTTTTAAAAAATCTCAATTAATGTTTCTCCCTACTTTTATATTATTAATTTAAATTGTAATTGTAAATTGTATTAAGTATTGTCTTCACAAGTTTTAGTATAGATAATTAATATAAATAAAATAACTTTGTATTAATTTAACGAAAATTTTATCGAAAACAAGTCATGTTAATATTATTAATTTAACTCGAAGTGTTTCATCAGTAAAATTCGAACTTTAAAGACATTGAGGCTTTTTTTTGGAATAAAACTACTGAATATTGCGATAATCTACACTATCTACAGTTTGAAAAATATTCAATATTTCTGATACATACACTCTTTACAATTCATAATTCTACCAACTCGCGCCATCTTGTGATGGCAATATGTAGTATCGACGCATTTTCGGAGTTCAGCCTGACTTATCGATCCTATTCAAATTACATTGGGCCGATAAATCAAATTGTTATTATAATCACCGACGAGATACTATTAAAGACCTTGGGCAAATTTTCGGCGATATATAAAGGGCCCCAAAAACCTGAAAGTAATTGAAGAACGCTGACATTATCAACAATTGATATAAATTTGCTATTATTAAATATTTGGCTCATTATTAAATTCATGAATTTTTATTACATAAATGTTCCATAAATAAATATGCGTATTTGTAAAGCTATAATATCTTATATATTGCAGAAAAATTACCATTTTTTTTCTGTTATCATTTCTGTTGATAATCAAACTTTGACGATAACATTGAAATCGAAATTTTAAAGAAAAATCGAGTATTATTGAGTATTTCTAAATGTATAAATATTAAACTAATAAATCATAAAATTAGTACAATAATATCAGTTTTTAATTCTTAATTACTTCAATATTCACAAGAACGCGAATTCCCGTAAGGATGTCGGTTTTTGATAGTATCTCTCGTCGGTGCTACAATTCAGCGAATAAATGTACTGTATCGTTAATGACTTATATAATTCATATATTTATATAATATTATTTATATAATAATAATTATTATTATTATACAATAATAATTGTCATATAATATAATACCAAATCTAATTACATCAAATTAAGTTAATTCATAATAAATATTAATTAAAACGACTGCGTTCAGCAAAGAAAGCAGCTTCGCAACTGTTGCAAAATTCTTTAATATATGATTTATTTATTGGTTTAAATCCAGTAAAGAGTTTAGACTTGCAATCATATTAAAGAATTTTACAGTTGCAGAACTGCTTTTTCTGCACATAGCCAATCGTTCAGGATAATTGTGATTTCATGATTACGCGCATTCGCGATTTTCTAGACTGCCTATTTATCATAATTTATTCCAATAAATTATCCAATCAAACAAATGATCAATGATGTCTCAAAATATCTTAATATAATCATTACTTATCTATTCTATAATACGTAACGACTGAATAAAATCAGAATAATCAACTATTTTCAATTGCCCGTTTTGATTCGAACATGGCTGCTCAATCCGAAAATCTCGTCAGTGATCGTTGCGAACGTAATCGCAATGAAATCGCGAATATGAAACGAAGAATGACGAATCATATCCAGCGCTAATACTAATGTCGACATCATTCGTCGAGCAACAATAATAAATGCATAAATGTACCTTTCGACGGCAATTTCCTTCTCATTTCTGGACCAGGCAAACTCCCGCATTTTCACAAACGACGCGCGCGACAAGAACTAAACGATGAGTTGAGTGCAGTCACGTGATGCCGCGCCAGCGATAATCGAATCTCGAAGATCACGTGATCTGAAACGATCTCGCGTCTCGCCTTCGGCCATCTTCGGCCGCCTCGGCGCAACGTTCTCGCGGTGGTGGTACCGGCATATCGTTTCATAGGTTATCAGGTCGAACGTTCACAGTTCGCAGTTTCGCATTCTCGTTCGCCTTCTGCGCACCGATCCGAGCACAACACATTGAAACACACCATGTCCGGCAAGCCCCCGTATAAAATCAGTAAGTGCCAAATGTCACGAACGATTGAATCACAGCGTATTTCGAAATAAAACGAACGCAGTGTGCACGTGCTCGTGCCCGTTATGGAGCAACGTGAAGTACTCGCCGAGTACGATCACAATCTGTATATCTGTAATGGCACGAGCGCGCGAAATTATTTTTAATATCGCGTTCGATATTAAATTATTAGTACGCAGTATGTCGAGGATGATGATAATGTTATGAATTATATATGCCTGTTAAAAATATTAAAAATATTTAAACTTAACTTTTAACTTTCGGATAATCTTCAGTTTACTAATCGGAATTATAATGGAAATTTCTCGTCAAAATTTTAATGAAACGTAATGGAGTATAAAAATTTTCAGAATGTTAAAATACTAACAACTAAATGGGATTACATTCAACGTTAAAATTTTTATGACGATGATGTAAAGTACAAAAATAACTATTTCATAATGTTGTTGATAATAATATCTGTGCTCTGCATATTTTTTAATATATAATTAAATATTACAAATACGTATTTTGTAACAATGTATTTTTTTTTAAATAATTTTTACCTTTATTTTTTGATAATCAAGTAACTGGAAAAAATATAAGCTCATATTTAACACAGGATAATGTATTATTAATATATTATTATATATATTAAATTATTAATATATAAAATATTTGTTATTATATAATATTACATATAAATATATATTGAAATCTTATAAAATGTATATATATATATATGTGTACATCATTTTAAAAGATGTCAATGTATGTATAATATTGTACGTATATAATTAATATACAGTGCCCGCCAAAAGTCCTGGGTCACCTGAATAATTTCTAAATGATTCGAGATATAAGACTGAAATTTACAGGGATATAACGGGATCGTAAAATCTATTATTGAACCTCAAAAACATCCACTTTAAAGAGGCCTGAAAATCTTAAATGGCATATAAGTTGAGTGAAGGCTCGTTTGAAAGGGCTTTTCGAGACGAGAACAACGCGGACTGACTGAGGTCTCTAAGATTTTTTTTCGCAGAGTTAGCGGCTCCACATAATAAAAGAAAGGGAACAGAGAATAGAGAATAAGAATTTCAACCTCAATCAGAAATCATGTATTGTGGAATACACAGTTTCCCTGTTCCTTTTATTGTGCGGAGCCTCTTATGATCATTTGAATATTATTATTTAGAAGAAAGAGTTACATCTCTTGTGTGCGTCTTGGGTATCACGTAAATAATTTTTTCATATCGTATGCCGATATGATATGAAACAATAATGTTCCCTCAGAGAGCGATACATTACCTTATCTACTTATCTCCTTTGTTTGCTTTAGTAATTTTCATTCTAATATATTTCTATTGTCAGAAAATGCTTTTGACCAATACGGAAAAGGTGAGCTCCATACATCTGAATAACAATGTTCAAATAATCATAATTATGCGAAAAAAATCATAGAGACTTCGATCAGTCCGCATTGTTCCCATCTTGAAAAGCCCTTTCAAACGAGCCTTTATTCAACTCCACATATCACTTAAGATTTTCCCCTTCTCCCCTCTCCCTCCGGGAATGTTAAAGTGAATGTTTTTGAGATTCAATGATAGATTTTACGATCCCGTTGTATCTTTGTAAATCAATCTTCTTCTCGAACCATTCAGAAATTATTCAGATAGCGCGAGACTTTTGGCGAACATTGTGTATACTTGATTTATATATAGAACTTCTTAGTTTTGACGATCATGATTTTTCTTAATTGGATTTAATTGGAATAAATTCCTTGACAGCTGACCTCTCGCTGGCAGAATGGGGTCGTAAAGAGATCACCCTGGCGGAGAATGAAATGCCGGGGCTTATGTCGATTAGAAAGAAATATGGTCCATCCAAGGTGTTGAAGGGTGCTCGGATCGCCGGTTGTCTTCACATGACCGTGCAAACTGCGGTGCTAATTGAGACCCTGGTAGAACTTGGCGCAGAAGTAAGCATTAACAATTCTTAAGCTGTGATCAGACTAAAAATTAAGATTGAGATTGAATTGGAATCTAATTAATCAGAAGAAAGAAAACCAATTTCAAGTTTAGTAAACTTTGCATTGTTTAATAAAATTTCAAATCTGTTCTCAATCTCACTCTCACTAGTCTGATCACGACTTTAAGGTTTACATGTAAAAAAATTTTAGTTTCATAATCGTAAGATCGAAAGTTCTAACATGAAATCGCAATTTTGATTGTGATTGATCGATTTGTTTAATCATTTAAATTATTAGGTGTTGGAATTAATTCATAGCGTTTTTTAATGAAAGAATGTTATTTATTTCACATGAGCATTAAAAAATACATTAATGAAAGTACTTCCCATCACTTGTAAAACGCTACGAATTAATTCCAACACCTAATATAAACCAATTACAATACCATATTAGCATCTTAAGATATTGTTTAATCTTGAAATACGAACACACAAATTATGAATATTGGTCTTAGCTGTAAATAACAAAAATGCTGATGGAATTTCACGCAGCTATTTACTTATTACGCAAGAAACATGCGAAGATAAATTTATAATGTACACATAAATATTATTGATCTTTTTATCTCTCCTGTAAATTTGAATATATCACATTCAGTCGAAAATATTTTTTTCTTGATATACGTGCTATTCTTCATAGTAAACTCTCATTGTAATATTCATGAATAAATATTATTTAGAAAAAAGACCTTTTCTTTCCATTTCAAAGAATTTCTCGTTGAACACATTTTTAGAAAAACCTTTGATAAGGATCTATGTATTTTGTGAATTAATTTTTTATATTCAATGTATTTTTTCTGTGAATTAATCTCTAGTTCTGAAAATAGTTGTAAAAATTATTTATTTTGAAA